AAACTGCTTCACCAACGAAACAAAGGAAGGTATACTGTGGTCGAAAAGCAGTCTAGTACCGGATGTCGTTCTTCAGAAGGCTAGACCACTCCGTAACGGTCCCCGTAACTAACGATTTTGCAGGAGCAAAACTTTTTCGAAAAGGGGAGGAGGTGGGCATATACGAGCCGGCGAAGATCGTCGACGCAGAGCCAGTGAAGTGTCACGGTGATATGCTCGAACGCACGGTTAACGCGACTGAAGACCGGGAAGACAAACTGCTGCGACTGCTGAACATGAGTAAAAGTGGGAAGCAAGAAGAAGGTATGGACAACCTTGTCAGGAGATACAGCGATGTATTCGCGGTCACTGAACAAGAGCTGAGCCAAACATCTCTGGTTGAGCACTCAATTGAAACTGGTGATGACCGATTAAGCAAAAGGCACGCCCGATACCGCTAGGAACGAGTGTGGAGTTGCGGCAAATACTCAAAGACCTGCAACAAAGGAAGGTGATTGAACCAAGCAGCTCGAGTTGGGCATCACCTATTGTTCTGGTCCAAAAGAAAAACGGTACCTTAAGGCTATGTGTCGACTACAGGAAGGTGAACCAGGTAACGAAGACTGACAGTTACCCGCTCCCGACAATGGATTCGATCTTGCAGAGTTTGAAAGGCAAAAGATGTTTCTCTACCCTGATCTGTCATCTGGGTATTGGCAGATAAGCCTTTCGCAAGATGCCAAGGAGAAGTCCGCGTTCACCACAACGGAAGGATTGTACCAATTTCGAGTGTTGCCATTCGGATTAACATCATCACCAGCAGTGTTCCAACGTCTCATGCACATAGTACTCGGTCCATTACTTGGCGATGAGGTGTTCTGTTATTGGACGACATAATGGTAGCAACAGATTCGGTCGAACGACACCTGAAGGTAATGGAAGAAGTGTTCTCAGCTCTAAGAGGAGCAGGACTAAGATGAACCCGAGGAAGTGTGTGCTGATCAAGGATAGAGTGGAATTTTCTCGGACATGTAATCGACGGCGAAGGACTGCATATGGATCCGGCAAAAGTAGAAGCCATTAATCGGTACCCACTTCCACGGACACGTGCAGATCTCCGCTCATTCCTCGGCATGTGCTCATATTATCGCAAGTTTGTGCTAGGTTTCTCGAAAGTCGCAGCACCGTTGCATGAAATGACGTCTGAAAAGAAACCATTTGGCTGGACACCTGCTGCAGAGGATTCAAAAACCTAAAGAGGATCACTACGGAAGCCCCAGTACTCGCGCAACCGGATATTGAAGCAGCTAGAAGGAGGACGAAACCGTTCAAGATCCATACAGATACTAGCACAGAAGGCCTAGGAGCAGTGCTGAGTCAGGAAGGTGAAGATGGGTTCTTGCACCCCATATTTTTCGCGTCGAAAGGTTTGTCCAAAAGCGAAAAGAACTACCACGTTACTGATTTGGAGGCTCTTGCGGTAGTATTTGCGCTGAGAAAGTTCCACATGTTCGTTTATGGCCTCCATACCGAAGTTTTCACAGACCATCAAGCGTTGACTGCCTTATTCAAGAGGAGCAATGTGTCAGCCAGAATTCTTCGCTGGGCACTGGAGCTCCAAAAATACGACGTCAAAATTATCTACTTGAAAGGTGCAGCAAA